GTGGCGCTCCCATGTAACCTAACAATTAGCTATATAATACAATACAATCATTCCGACTCTTTCAATACTTCGTGACAATGGCTATCATGATTGCAAATGATGGTGATGCCCCTTGTTGTCCCTCTCATTAGATCTGATTCGTTGTATTTGTACAGTAAATGACAGTGGACTTCATATAGACGCACGTAAATATCTCCAAGAGACGTTCATTGTCTAAGTACTGAATAATGCCCTTACCACCGTCATGTATATTGATGCAAAAAAGGTGATACGTTTCGATAAGCTGTTATAAAAAAAAACTACAAAGAGTAATGTCCTGAAAGAATCTGGACAAATGTCCTTGGTATGAGCAAAAAAAACTCCATAAAGCAGTGGAGTGCAAATAGATAAATCATCGATCGCTGTTTATGTTCCTAATCTACGGTATGAGCGTAAAATATTGTATCATATTGATTTATCATGATATACCTTGCACTTATCTGTACACGGAGGAAGACCCAGTGACCTGATGAACCTGGTATCATCATTATTTGATGATAAAAAATGTATTTATTCTATTGACTTGGTTGATTTTTTGTGTGTACAATTTATCATACATATGTCTAGATTAATTTGTCACGGTATAAATCTATCGGGAGGATGGCCCGAATAATTTCGTACATTCACAATATCAAATACTAGTGATACCGGGTGCATTTAACTAGTTTGACGAAAAACAAAACTTTTTTTTTTTTTTTTTGCTTCATATCCCACAAAGGTTCGTGTCTTACTAGCCAAAACAAGTTTCCGTAAACTCTGTTATAGTAATGGGGGATAGTACAAACGTAATATATCTAAATGGTTGGGGCAACAATGATAAACAAAAGCAGGGATTTTTTTAATTGTTAAAAACACGAACCATGATTTACTGTCTGCAAGACGCACACGTTACTTTAGAAATGGAACAAGTAATTCGAGAAGAATGGGGAAATAAGCACTGCTTCTTCAGTTCGTACGGGGGCCCAGTCTTCTAAGGCGCCGCGATTCGCTGTGCAGAGTTGCGTCCCTTGGGCACGCAAGAAACCTATGATTGTGGGTTCGAATCCCGGTTCGCCCCGATTATGTTTCTAGGTTTGTCAGCACCATACCCGTGCTCGTGGGTCTCACCAAAGTGGCTAACGTCTGAGACCTGCATCACTTCGAGCTCTCCTCCCACATTAAGCTGACACGCCGTGATATAACTGGAATAATGTTAACAGCGGCGTTAAACCCAATTCACTCACTCACTTCAGTCCGGACCGAAGTAACTCTGGAGGTGTTGCAATATTTTTACACAACAGATTCGACTGTACCGTCAGTAAAAGATATAACAAGCTAATGGTAACCTACTTATACTCTAAAACTGACTATTAATGAATATAAACTTGAAATAGTCACAATATATGGTTAAAATAAGGATAACCACGAATTGTACGAAAGCTTGATGCAATCCTTTACTAGTGGCCAGATAGTTCTATGTGGTGAATGTCATACAAAACATACTTTTGATACATACCACAACAAAAGCGTTAATAATCATAACCCAAGATAACGAATCCTAAAGATGATCTCGACCTCGCTGACCCTTGGAGAGAAAGAAATACCATTTGAAAAAAAATCACTTGGCCACAACCAAACCCTTTTAACAATCACAATTTCCCCAATATCAATAACTGGGAAATTTAATAATCCGTTTTTAAGAGATTCTGAATACGTAAATCTTGTGAGAAGTGTTATAAAAGAAACAACAGATCAAATTCGAAACAATATTAAAGAATGTATTGATGATTTACCATTAGCGAGAAACTTCTCTTGGAAACTATCGTTCAAATGATTAGTAGGAAAACCATTCCATATTCATCACATAAAAAAAAAGAACGTGAATAGAACAGAAAAAGATTATACAAAATAACCTCAATAAATTGTCCATCAAGTCAGATGAAGAAGACCGAGTAGAAAGCAGAAAAGAAATGGTAATGAAAGTTGATATTACACATGAAGAGGTGCACATAAATGGGAGAGAAACCGAGTAAGGACATCCAGAAACTTCCTTAATAAATGGATAAGCCGAATAGAATATTATATGTGAAGGATAATTCATAAACAGGATGACATACTAGAAGAAATTCAAAGATATTATAAATCGCTGTATACCAAACATGAAACTGGTGCAATAACCTTAGATGTGTTATTAGGTAAATACGACTTTCCAACAGTTCAATCTGAAATTACGCAAGAATTGAAAGGTGGGTTAACGAGTTAATGGTAAAGTTTTAATGGCGGTCAAAAAGCTAAAGAATGATAAAAGTCCAGGCCCAGATGGATTAACAGTTGAATACACCGCTTTCATTCAGTATGATGTTGGAAAGTACCTTATTGGATCATTAAACTATGCCAATAGGACAGGCCACCTTTCAACATCTCAAAAACAAGGTTTAATTACTACATCTCCAAGGGTAAAAATCCACAGTAGTTCCCTTAAAGATGAGAGAGAGAGAGAGAGAGAGTGTGTATGTGTGTGTGAGAGAGAGAGAGTGTGTGTGTGTGTGTTTGTGTGAGAGAGAGAGAGAGAGAGAGAGTGTGTATGTGTGTGTGTGAGAGAGAGAGTGTGTGTGTGTGTGTTTGTGTGAGAGAGAGAGAGAGAGAGTGTGTGTGTGTGTGAGAGAGAGAGTGTGTGTGTGTGTGTTTGTGTGTGAGAGAGAGAGAGAGTGTGTGTGTATGTGTGTGTGAGAGAGAGAGAGTGTGTGTGTGTGTTTGTGTGAGAGAGAGAGAGAGAGTGTGTGTGTGTGTGTGTGAGAGAGAGAGAGAGAGAGTGTGTGTGTGAGAGAGAGAGAGAGGAGAGAGAGAGTGTGTGTATGTGTGTGTGAGAGAGAGAGAGTGTGTGTGTGTGTTTGTGTGAGAGAGAGAGAGAGTGTGTGTGTGTGTGTGTGTGTGAGAGAGAGAGAGAGAGAGAGAGAGAGAGAGAGAGAGAGAGAGAGAGAGAACTGCGAATTTGGTACTCTTCCACAAGGAATTTGGTACAACGATAACATTACAATACGTAAAAAATGTATTCAGTATAAGGATTGGAAAGGAAAAGCGTAAATTATGTAAATGGTCTAATTGACGAAATGGGATATTTTCTTTCGTATATAAACTTTTCAAATTAAAACACACTTTCTAAAATACACGAGAATAGCGAATTCTGTAAATCAATACTGCCGCACAATATGAAAGACATTTTCCAAAAGAAAACGGAATACCCTTTTTGACTTTTTAACGTATTTCACTTACTTAAAGCATCAAAGGGGTGTCATCATTACAACTCAACCTTAATCAATTGGAAAGTCTACTAGAAATGAAAATAACAGATAAAGATAAGCTTATCAACAACACGTAATACCTTTTATATGTGCAACTATCAAGACCAAATATTGCATCTTCTTCTTTTTTTAAAATAAATTGTTCAAGATGGGATACGTACAGGTTTAATACCACGAGCCGGAGGCGAGGCGATAGGTATAAAACCTAACGCGGGACGCATAGAACTCCATGTACCCCGTGATCCTGCTACAACGAATTTATCTTACCTACAAGTTTTAATATGACATTGTCAAATAATTCAAACATTACTACACGATTAAGTCACTGCATATGTTAACAAGAACGGCTTCAGCAGAATTTGGAAGACATATATATATAAATAACTAAAAACAGTAAACAGTGATATGTATACAAGCTTCACAAAACAGTTTTGAACTAAACAATGAGAGACAATTTGAGACAAATATATATATATATATGTCCAACAAACAAAATAAAAAAGTTTTAAAACAATTACTGATAGTGATAGTGATTAATACACATGCTCATTATATATATTCTGAACTGTACAATCGATTCTGATTTCAGCAGAGATTTCTTATGAATATGGAAAGGGTTTGTCGTTTATATTATTTAAATAATGCAGAATATAAAATATCTATAACCTACCATCTTTGTATACATCACGCAATCACAATATTGTTGTCAACCAAGTAGCCAATGTTTCTTGTACGAGGCTACTGAATTCTTTTAATCGCATCTTTTGTGTATGTATATTAAAAATGTTGGCAATAGACTTTGTCATTTGTAATTGTCACGAATTAACTTCATCGCTTACATATTGTGTACGTATTTGCATTTTAGCGTAGATAAAGTGTATGGACGAGTGAGTGTTCTTTTACACCGCAGTAGATAAATTGTTAAAAAAATGTGAGTACATGAGTGACAGACTTTAATAATACCGTTGAGATAAACGAATTAAATGTACAAGTAAGAACAAGTATTTCAAGAAATCATTTCATTGAGTGTTACATCGCATCTCATATATAACTGTTTATAATAGCACGCACGGAGAAATAGGTGTTAGAATAGGTACCCAGTAACCTGTGTTTGTCACAGCCCTGATAATATTAACCATTGGTTTGTCCGACCCAGAATCGATTATTTACATGCCACACTGGTTAGCAGTGATTAGCAGCCCTGTAGGATGAGGTAGTAATGTGACAGCAACGCCCGAACCTTAAAAATATAATCCTCTTGAGATTGCAACATTAACGTTGATTGTAAATTGACCCGTCAGATGGAATAATGGCATGTGCTTTGGGTAGCTTTTCAGTCGGTTATGTTTTTATTATTCTTGTTATTGGTATTTGGGGCATGGCTGTGGAGTACCAGGTTCGATGGTCGTGGGTTTGAATCTTCGATTTGCCCTCATTATGATTCCTGGGTTGTCGACACCATACCGTACTCGTGGGTTTCAAAAAATGGAAGAAGTCTAAAACCTGCGCTTCTTTTGGCTTTCCTCCCACATTAGGTGGACACATCGTGATCTGATGTATAATGTTTAAAGCAGCGTTAGATCCAACTTATTGTTATCATTATTGTTAATCTTGTTATTGTTGTTAGTTTCGTGATGATTTTTGGGCAAATAGATCATATACATGGAGACAATGATGTACCTGAATGCCCAGTTGAGCGGCACGTCTTCATTCTGGAGAACGTCATTGAGACTTCCTTTGGGGCAGTACTCACTGAGCAGGCACACGTCAGGCACTTCAACACACCCGCCGACGAACTTACACAGATTAGGGTGGTCCAGCTCTCTGCAACAAAAGCAGAAAAAATCAATCATGGTTAACATGCTATCTATCAGTTTTGAAACTGATTCATATATTTAATAATCCATTCAATCTGTCATTTTACTCTGGTGTTTAATGTTACAGATGTGCATTATATCCAAATCACTCAACGTCACTCATTGTAGGGTCACGGTTGACTGGTGGCAGAACTGCGAGCTCCGCTAGTTGTGGATTCGCATTCTAGGTTCCTCCCAAAAAAGAACGTTTTTTGTCTGCTCCTTACCCATGCTTCTGCGTTTCCCCAAAGCGGAAAAAAGTCTAATACCTCCAGGGAGATATTGGATTCCGGATCGAGGTGTAACTTTGAAGCTGTATTTAATAATCTAACTCTTCGCTGAGTGATAAGTATTTGAGTCCAAAGTGACAATTTCAAAACCAAATGGCACACGTTCCTATACCAGATACTCACACCCGTATATGTAGATGGTCCATGTCGTATTTCAACAATGTTGGGGCTATTTTGGTGAATGAAACAATATTTATTGTAATGCAATCGGCCATGCGTTTCATTTCTTGGAGAGTATATTTGCTAGCCAGTGACATTAATATGCGTTCGTTTTTATATTCAGCTGTATGTATGCTGTTGCACATTTGTGTATGTCGCAAGTGCGCGCACAACCTTAACTTTCAATCAATACTGTATTCCGCATGACGGGCATATGGCCATGTAATTAGCCTATAAACCTCTAGTGATGACAATACTAAAATATATATCATAACTTTTCAATGATTGTTCTAATTCAAATTAACTAGATTTCGAAAGCTATATATATTTACGCAAAAGAAAAGTTAAATGTACTTACTTCCGTGTTATTTAATGCTGTCCATAAACGCAACATGTATTTAGCACCTCTGTAAAACTGAGAAAATGTCTCTATGTACTATGTCATCATTAGGGGAAGGCTGATACACGCAATAGCATTTGAGTTAGCTGACAGAATTTGGGAGTTGTGAATGATTTGCCAGGGCTACCTCCTGAACCAAGCCTAAACCTTTTAACTGCCTTGACGTATTTACGTCTCTAGTTTAACGTGTCTTGTAGAGCAGGTTAAAATCTGTTTCGGCAGATAATAGAGACTGGTTATTCTCTGGCGTTATCGTTTCATATGTAGAGGTCATCACGCGAGTGTGTTTGGCGATTGTTAATAACCTCTTTGTAAAATAAATGTCATTTTTCAATTCTGTGCTCGAAAAATCTCTTCCCATCTCTTTCAAATATTACCCAGAAATTGCAAGTTTTCCTGAAATGTGCACATTAATATGTATAACGTTCAAGGGTAAGTGATGTGTCACTCAGACAGTGACAACAGTCAGTATAGTTCCGGCTGAAACCTGTTTATCATACAGTGGCGAAACTAAATATATGCAAAAAACATTTGACTACACACGTTCTTTCCACTTGCCTTTCGCGGCAATCCAACCGCGGGACTGCTGGAGTAAGTGCCCTTTGGCAAAGGGAAGCTACTCTTACCATAGCCTTTGAGACGTCCGTTTATTGACAGTCTGTCTGTTCTGTCATTACGTTAAGAAGTCCAGTCGGATGTACACACAGCAACAAAACGAAACAAGGTAACTATTTGGGCATATTTCGGACACATCCAACTGTTTTAATTTGGGGAAAAGGTTCCAAGGCGCAAAGGTCTACAAGCACAGATATGGAAACTGATCCCTCTAGTATAGTGTCCTCGCTAAATTGTTTCGCAATTAATATCTCCAAAGTTGTCAAAACTTGTAAAATGCCGTTGTTATGTCACAGTTAGACACTGAGTTTCCAGAAACGAAGAAGGGCGACGCCGGTTTGTTTGTAAACAGTGAAAGTAGTCCCTACTTGACCTTTGATATTTGCATCTATATCTTCATATGACCCCAACGGATATCGTTTTTATCCCCTTGGTTTTATCCTGCCGAGAAACCTATCCATTATATGATAATCATTTTTATATTGTTTTATATTATTGAGCCTTCAGGATGTTTCAATGAGGTATGATACTAGATTATGTTTATTCATATTTCCTTGAATTTGAAGCTATTTGCACCTCATTCCAAAGCATGTTTTCCAACCTGCGTAACTTGTTTTTTATATTGATTTCCATTTTGACATACTAATACATGCCTAGAACTAGTTTCCACTGTCCTAAGATCTCTGTTGGGGAAAAGGGGGCGGTCGGGTAGCCTTGTGGTTAAAGCGTTCGCTCGTCACGCCGAAGACCCGGGTTCGATTCCAGACATTGGTACAATGTGTGAAGCCCATTTCTGGTGTCCCCCGCGGGATATTGCTGGAATATTGCTAAAAGCGGCGTAAAACCACCATACTCACTCACTATGATGTAGCCCAACTCGCTAAATAATTCTCGCAAGATGGCTTAATAAAAAAGAAAATATACTCCTATTGGGGAAAAACACGAAATCAATATCCACTTAAGGACAAAACTTAACACAGTAAAGTAGATAGCCATTGTTGAGATTGTTTTTTTTTTAAAGGTAATTTTACAGAGTCGATGGAGTATGATTACATGCTGTACTTGACTACTTGTTATTATCGGCGATTCGTCGAGGATCTTCAAATTGCCTGTGTGTGCATAGCGATTCTGTCTGGGAAATAACGCATGCTTTTAAGAAAATGTTTCGTCCGCTGTATGGATTTGGCGTACTTCCTGCCTACTCGTGGTGATTAGCACATGTCTTAAATAAAATTATTGATAAAAGTTATTAAGTAGAATAAATGATAAAAGGGTTCGGTTTTTCGCTTCTCGTGGTTATCATGTAAGTTAAACGTTTAAAAGCAAACTAGGTGATCATTCTCCTTCCAGAAAGACATGTACAAGCCAATACAATGCAAATTCAGACCAAAGCTCATAAAGCGGTATCTTTACAACAGGGAAATAGATTACGGGGTTAGTCGAAATACCGTGATATTAAATAAAAATATCTCATCATGTGTCTAATGATGTCTAATCATGTACAAAATCGTCAAATCGGAATATCAAATTAAAGTAATATGTTTTAATATGCAAAATCAACCACTCTGAATATGAAAGAGACATCTCTTCAACAACATATGACTCTGTGAATATGAAATACAAATATCTCATCATGTACAACATCGACAAATCTGAATACCAAATGCAATAATAATGCAGCAAATGTTTAAATCAAGTTCCAAATCTACAACTGTGAATATCAAAGATACAGTTCAAATTATGAACAAAATGTAGAACTGTGAATATCAAATAGAGATATGTTCAATCGTGTACAAAGTCGCCTAACGTAAATATCAAAGACACATATCTCTTATATGCAATTGCTTTGCTAATTTACAAACGTGAATATATGGAAAAGGTTTCGTTGCTTTTTAATTATCTATTCTTAAATCATTCTATTGTATTGTATTGTAATGTATTGCATTGCATACAAAATGTATGAATAACAAATGCGTGTGATCATCTAATCATATAAACAGTGATTTCCTACTATTCCCATTGTGGTTAGCACAGTTGAACATACGAGAGTTGATATTGTCAGTTAGGTCACACTTTGATATGTCATGGTTTACAAATGTGCGAACCATGTAACTTGAGTCGATCGAAAAAAAGATATATTAAACCCGTTTAGCTCAATATGTTTTATTTCGCACGAGTGAGCTTTTAGGAATATTCCAGCAACATCACGGGACACCAGAAACTGGCTTCACACATTGTACCCACGTGGTGAATCGAACCCAGGTTTTGGCGTGATGAGCGAACGCTATAACCACTAGGCTACCACACCGACCCTATTTGGCATGACGTTCTTTAGATCGATCTGTTTAATAGGGGGAAGGGTAATACTGTTAAAGGTCCAGTATGTTAAATATGTCACAGTATTAAAATAACATGAATATACGTTAACACCTGAGAATGCTTTGTGGGGTTAGCCCGTTCGATTCTCACATGGGTATAATGTGTGAACCCACTGGCGTGATATTGTTGGAATATTACTGAAAGTGGCGTGAAATCTCACTCACTAATGCAGAAAAGGTACCATAAGGCTGTCTCCGGCGAGCACACGGTGTGTTTTGTATAGAGTTAAGAATCAACTTTCTATCTCTCCATCCCTAGACGTATTGGCATCATAAATTACACCTTTTAATCTATAGATTGTCTATTTTCTATACACATTGTCTATTTCTATACATAAACTCAATTAAATCCACTGGGCGTGTTGAATGGTGAAGAGGAGGATAATTGATTTAAAATAATTGCTGAAACAAGCACCCCATTCAGGGATATTCTACAACATTAACATCAATAAAAAAGACCTTGGGTTTGTTTCAGGGAATAATAATTAATGATTAATAATTATATTGCTTTATAAACCCAGTGCAATTCGATAACGTCAACTTGTATGTTATGCAATAGCATCCGGGTTCGATTTCCACATGGGTACAATGTTTGAAGCCCCTGCAGTGATATTGTTAGAATATTGCTGAAAGTGGCGTGATACCTCTCACTCACTGATGCAGACAGGGTAACATACGGCTGTCTCTGGCGAGTCCTCGGTGAGTATTGTATAGAGTTAAAAATCAACTTTTTATCTCTTCTACCCATTGGCATCATAAATTACACCTTTTTATCTATAGATTGTCTATTTTCTATACGGGGCGGTCGGGTAGCCTAGTGGTTAAAGCTTTTGCTCGTCACGCCGAAGACCCGGGTTCGATTCCCGACATTGGTACAATGTGTGAAGCCCATTTCTGGTGTCCGCCGCCGTGATATTGCTGGAATATTGCTAAAAGCGGCGTAAAACCATACTCACTCACTCATGATCACTCACTATTTTCTATACACATTGTCTAATTCTATACATAAACTGAATTAAAACCACTGTGCGTGTTGAATGTTGAGGAGAGATGATAAGGGAATGAGGGAATAATGATCAATGATTAATAATTATATTGCTTTATAAACCCAGTGTAATTCGACAACGCTGTATGTTATGCAATAACGATAATTTAGTGTGGATGTCGATCTACATCCCCGAGTATCAACATACTAAAAGATAAAATCCTTACCTGACTGTCTTTACTTCGACTCGGATGGTTTTCGTGAGAGAAAAGTTGTTCTTCCGTATCTTCCTAACGGCAATCGTTCGTCCATCGCTGAAATGACAATCAATACAAGTGGGTGTAAGTGTGCGGTAAGAGCAGGAACACATTCTCGTACACACGCTAAGTTTGGGAGACAACCTTCTTCAGAGATGAACCACAAAAGCAGGGGGAAAAATTAGAAATTTAACAGATAGGAATACATGAAAAAAGTCCACTTACGAACGCACGTACTCACTCAAACACGCACCCACGCACTCGCTATTTGGGAGCAACACTCCTCTTAGCGTTCCCGGGACCAGTAAGGGCTCAGACACGGTTCATTGACACGGCATTTGGCGCTCCCGGTACCAAGCAAATAAAACGAGGACAGAGGAGTACCGCTCATCAATTTCATTACCGTATACATGCATTAACATTACTGTTTAAAATGTTCATATCCATATCAATATTCAGTCCCGGTTAAGAAGTTCCGAGAAGTTAATGTTTAATTAATGCATTTAAGTTAAAATGTTAAAATGTACATATCAATGTAAACCCATCAATGTTCAATCAGGGTGAAGACTTAAAACCAAGCGCTTTATCTTTAACCCACGCCAGCACGCCAGCACGCCAGCACGCCAGAAGAGACGACGTTGTTGGCTTGTTAGCATAGAGTACTAAACATACTGATATAAAGCTCGATCAATAGCATGCACACAAGCAGCATGCATGCATTGAAGCAAACGTGCGTACATACAAGTGAGAAGTTTGGAGGGTTTGAAGGTGAGCTACAACTACCAAGTTGAAGACATTGTTCCGTGGTCTAGAGGATAGAGTTTGGAGCGTCTGCCCGGTCCGAAAATTCGATTCCCGGCCGTGTCATACCAAAATACGTTAAAAGATGGTACTTGCTGTTACCCTGCCTAACGCTTGGCATTAAGGGAATAAAACAAGGATCTTGACATTGGGAATAATTAAAATTAATGTCTGTAACGAGCTTTTTACGACTAACACACCGTTTGGATACCATAAACGGGTATTTCCTACTTGTCCAGCAGCTGGCCAAGGGATAATTCCAATCGCGTTTGTTTAAGCAATACACATTTGTACATTCAGCATTCGTCTACTTCAAAATTTGTACTCATGACAATAGGTGATGGACAAGAAAAAAGACCCCTAATTAAACATCTGGCAGATTGGGCGCTGGCCCGATCGTTGAAATTGCTCAACACGTCAAATACCGATAACCCGTTTTAACCCCCAGGAAGATGATTCCCCTCCGTGGAGGAATTTTTCGTTTAGGGAACGATTTGGCGTGTCATTTGTATCGGTATTTTTACGGTATTTGTCTTTTTCAAACTTAATTTGTTCCAACCATTTGTGTATAGGTATACCCTAAAGTATTAAATTCTGCAAAGTTGCTATGTTGACTATACTTGCCCTTTAGGCATGTAAATAGCATGCAGTTCAATAATGCAGACAAGAAAACGCGGTGTATGTTGTAAACGATTAGAGGCTAATCGTGTACTCACTAGAGCGCGATGTTTGCAAATACTTGTCTCCGATTGGCTGCCTGAGTCATCCCTTGCGAATTCTCGGTCTGGACACTGATCACACTGCCAAAGTTACCCCGGAGACCACTCTCTGCAAGAGAAATATGACTTGGGTTATGCTACATTGCAATGAAGAATAACACTCTTTACTCTTTACTTGCATATACCAAGAAGAAGACACACGTATTACCGATTGACGATTGCATGGAAGAGTTCATATAATTCCATTTAACCATTTATTTATTCAGAGGTGATGAAAAGTTATATGGCACTGTTGTTTTATTATCCGATGTTAACTATATGCTGCCTATACCTGTATATCGTATATACGACACATTCCCACCATGAACACCAGAGAGTCCAATAAGCTTGGACATCGCAGTCATTATTTGAGCGTTTTTGAATACATTAACACAGTACTCCCAATCCGTATATATAACGTTCAAGCGTAGACTAACAACTAGTCTCTGAAATGAACTTTTTTACACAATAAAAAGGATAAATTATAGTAAATTTACAAAATGTAATAAAAAGGAGCCCAGAGACTTTCATTTTCAGATACTGCAGTAATCTAGACTTGCCAAATCTAACAGACTTGCATGGGTAGTATTGGATGTATTTGTTTCAGGGTGTGCATGACAGACTAGGTTCCAGCAGTACAGCTGTTATTTCGAGCTGTATGAGCATACCCGGGAAATGCAGAGAAACTCCGTCAGTTCGGACGGTACCGTTCACAGTGACGTCTTCCGGATAAACGCATTTCCAGCTCAACGAATAATGAGCAGTTTCTCTTGAATATATTTGAGAGTTTCTCAGAAATAATCCTGTAGACTGTAGCGAGTCTAGGATCCGGATCTACGAAGTTTTACTGTAGCTGCAAATACTACAACAGGTGTTGAAAAAATGTGTAATTGTGTACTAACTGGATGATCAGATTCTTATAATGCGTGGTACATGATACCTACCACACCTAACACACATGTTCCTGTAATGAGATGAGGCCATGTACGTGTCGGTATGTATCTATCCTATCTTTTATCTCGTTTCTAGCATTGCGAGTTCCGGGGCAGTGATAAATAATACAGATTCGGAAATTGTTAATGTTCATGTTGTTATCGAGTAGTTACCTAATCTCGGTGTACATACAGTGCATGTGTGAGTCAACATCTTCGTACACACACTTTGTCTCATAGCTTGATCGTTTCGTTCAAGGATATCAATGACATCATCTGTTGGAGGTCCATGACAAGGTTAGATGTAAACTGTTCCTCATGCATAGTGTGTTGTGCGGTGCGGTGCTGTACTGTGCAATGCGGTGCGGTGTGGAGCTGTGCTGTGCAATGCGGTGCGGTGCGGTGCGGTGCGGTGCGGAGCTGTGCTGTGCTGTGCTGTGCTGTGCGGGGCTGTACGGTGCAATGCGGTGCGGAGCGGTACGGAGCTGTGCTGTGCAGTGCGGTGCGGTTCGGTGCGGTGCGGTGCGGTGCGGTGCGATGCGGTGTATATGAAGTATAATATTTCACGTATACCTTCAACAATCTGCTCGTATGATATGATCCAACTTTCATCCCACAGTAGTTTCCTCTGCGTGTACTGAAAATACTAAAATGAAAATCGAAATATATTATTAATCTAACCGATACAACTCGTTTGATTTTGATATAGGTCTTATCAACTCTCAATTGTGCCGGCTCCAGTTCTCGATTAATGAGTTTTGAGAATATTGTTCATCAATAGAAGGATTACCGTAAACGATTAAGTACAATGAACGGGACGACGTAAGCTCAGACATTGTTGCAAATTAAGTAAAAAGAATGTAAAGAATAAATTAGTTATAACTTACCCCAACAATACTCAGGATGACGACGAGGATGACTACGGCAATCACAGCAATGATAGCAATCTGCCAGCCTTCTAGAGGACACACGCCACAATCCTTCGGACATGTCTTACAGTCCTCCCCCTCTTGACCCTCACATCGGGAGTCGCCGCACACTGTGGTACACGATAGACAAACGCATTGAAATCACCTAGCCTCATCTCGCAATCATGTGTTCATACAAAATACCTCGAAGTAAAACACTAGCTAGAGCTAAATGTTTAGATTCAACGTACGCTACGAAGAACTAGTTGTTTTTTTATCCGAAGGTTGTTATTTACTTGCACAAGTAGCGTTACCACTCCCCATTGTTAGAATTCGGTGCATTATTCAAGAAATAAACAGCGACAACGAGTCGTCTATTTCTTATTTGAGACATCAAAATGATCTACAGTCTCGCAGGGTGTTAATAAAATGTACAAGCCTTAAAAATATTTACCCTTATTTAAGTAATGATGACTTCCTGAATACAATCCGACCTCGGACAAGTCTATTTTATGAACAGAGGGGTAATGTTGGTATTTTCCGGATATTCCCACAATTTTCACGTCGAGTATCTGCACCTTTTCTCCCCATACCGATTGTCATATCACTCTCGCTTTTGGATGCGATCGTTCGGCCATTGTGCTTGTCTTCGTTATCCAGCTACACTCAAAAATAACGTCGTCCAATTTACGACGTCATCAAGTTGCGAGCACATGTTCAAATGTCAAGAAATGACGTCATGATGGAAGAATGTTTTATGGTGAAATAAACCACGCTTCGTTCGCAGATATTTCGGGCTACTGTTAACAGCACGAATTGCTTGACCGAGTTTAACCTTTGTTTGTACAATTAACTAACATAATTGGACCAGACCATTTTAGTGCCACTGATGCGTCAAATTGGAAATGTCCTTCACATGCTTATGATATCGTCGCAATCGTGCAAGGACTCGCCCTTTAGCAAATATTTCTTATGATCACGGAAAGGGCGTTGTCGTTTTTATGTACATAAAAGGTATTTTTCATTGTCAGTTAAAAATAATAATATCAATACACAATAAATATTAAGGAAGACAAGAATTCTCTTCAATGAGGAGATGAACAGCCTTTTAGGTTACTTGTAAATTCAACTGCGCGAAATTGAACTTCGAACCGAATTCGGTGGAATTTCCTTTTTGCGTATGTTATTACTGCTGCTCAGCGCCTTCGAGAGATGGTAAACTACAACTTTGTAATCGAACCAGTTTCTTTTGACTCATGCTTATTGTTATAGGTCAATAAATGTATCAATGAATTGATATAAGGTATCAAAATAGAAATAACGTGACGTTCCATATGAACAAGTATTATCGTTCTTTAAGTGTTTAGAAAAATACGTTAATGAGTAACTACAATGATAATTCAATATCCTTTGATTAATTATTCATTATAAGGCTATTCATCATATGTCCAAGGTATGTATTTGCAAAATGAAGATCAATGCTGCAACTGAGACCCGAAAAATAGTAAAATGCATTGTGATTGCCACGCCTAACTTCATTCTACTCTTTAACGTTTAACTGTTTGTCGATTTACTCCCACAAGTACATGTATAATAGACGAGCGATCACAATACTGTGATGCAAGTAGGTACAAAATACCTCAGATATATTGATGTCGTGAATGAGTTACAAAACTAACATCCTTGCTATAAAAGAAAATCAAGTATGGGTCATTTGTATTTAAAAGTTACGAAATTGATGACGACCAAGGTCTTTCTTGAAAACCGTTGTTTGCAATGTAATTGGAATAGATTGAGGAATGTATAAGAGTTATTAGTACGAAGCATATGCGTTTTCTTGCATACCAGGCATGGCTTAAGACACGGCTAGATTTCCGCACAAGTGTTCCCTGGGACAAACTAACTAAGTTAAAGTATATGACCATTAACTGATGGTGATACCTGTTCTTGGTAGGACTTTGAGTGTTTGTTCCACAGCAACATGCATTTTGGCCACTTTAAAATGTGCGATGACTGATGTGTCTCCCTGTAAATATAAACCTTCAACCGTGGTCGTCCAGTTCCCGACATCCACGGGGCCGACCATGACGACGCTGTGTGTGAAGATGTCCCCTGAAGCAGGAATCCAAGGACCACAGAGGCCATTGCTGACGATGTCCTTTTGGTCAAGAGGGCAGGAGTGGACATTAACGTGGTGGATGCAGCAGTTTTCAGTGTTGGCAACGGATGGCTCTGGACATACTGCCGTCTTGCACCACGTCTCGGCGTCTCCGGCATTGCTGAAGGTGAAACAGAAGGATGTCGTTGACGTGAAGTGAGTGAGTGAGTATGGTTTTACGTCCCTATTAGCATTATTCCAGCAATATGAGGGGGAATCGAACCCGGATCTGCGTGACGAGCCAATGCTTTAACTACTAGGCTACCCAAACGCGCTCGTTGACGTGACGTAGCAAGAGTATGAGAGTGAACAGTTTCGTTATAAAGAATTATCTGAATTTATTTGAAATATTAAATGTCAACGCCAGAGATCTATTATCGGCTGAAATAGATTCCACAGGGCGTAAAAGGCAAAATAGTGGTGAACATTATTCGGGACTGATTATTATCTGGCTTTGATGTTTTATATGTGGATGTAAGTCCTGAATGATGAAGAGAACGAAAGAGTTGCGAACAGCAATTCTTAAATGATGTGAAAAAGTTACAATCTAACGTGGCATTGTGTGTCGGTCATTTATTATATAATGGCATGTCAACGTATTATACTGATAATAAGTTTTTTTAAAAACAAGGAGTCTTTACTGTTCGGTTCTTTCTTTGTTGCATTTTTTGTGTCATTCTTCGTAATACGTTCGTCGTCAATGAGCTCGTTTTACGAGGGGACATTAATTTCCTCAGATTACCTAAGCCAATGGTTTGGCTTGAGTGAAAGGGGTTCCTTTTGCTGTCTCATAGTGGTAAGGCCACATAAATACGATTTTAGACCTGTCATTTCTAAATATTGATGCATTTTAATAAAACTCCCACAAAACCTTTTGTGAGACTGTACATTATGTATTAACATTATGTATTAACAGAATTCAAAAGATTGGTATTATCCGCCTAATGTGTAACATCAAATAAACCAGAAAACATTTCTATTGTTTAAAGGTTAAGGGCATTGAATTTACAAACAGCCCTAGGCTTTCGTCCCTAGAAAACGAGACAATATGGCCATTAAGCTCACCTGAACCCGGAGCCGTTAGCCTGGTCAAATATGTTGTTTGTAACTGCCCAGGGGTAAAATGACGAGGCAATCAGTAGCTCGTACGTGACATTAAAAGGTTCCTGCGCTTTTATCTTGGCTGGCGGGGGAATAATCCATCTTATGTTTACACCTGAAACATACAAACAAACCATTTATAACACTCATAACAAAGATTTCCGTTTTCGGAAAATAATTAACTAAAGTATGAAGCAATGATTTATCAAGGCACAAAATACCTTCCCGAGGGAAGCACCGTGAGCGAGTGTGTTTTGTGTTTTGCATTCTGTTTTAAGCCGCTTTTAGCAATATTCCAGCAATATCACGACCGGGGATACCCGAAGAGGACATGCAGAGCGAACAACTTAACCACTTTTTAAAAATATCCAACAAGAAACCGTTTGTCGATGATCATACATCTGCACATATGAAAACAATTGTTTATCAAACCTTGATATCTGGTTCTTTAGTTTGAACTACCACCGACGAATAAGTAACTGTGTTGCTCTACTTCTACATAGTCAAGCAACGCAGGCCAAGCTTCCGTTTGATACAACATGTTACATCCACGTACGTTGATGTCCTTTGTTTGAGTATTGGACTTTAAACATATGATAACGCTTGTGAAATTGCTATAATGGCAATATGCTTAATATACCCTATACTTCTATGTTAGCTTATCTTATGATGGTCATTATTATAAATTATTTAATTCGTGAGATGTTAAGTGGCAATTGCATCAGCCAGCCATACGAGTATGGAGGACACGTTTCTGTATAACCTTTTTTATGCATATGCATCGGAATTTCTATTCGGATTGGGGGTCACGGGTGGCCCAGTCGTCCAAGGCGCCGCGATTCGCTGTGCAAAGTTGCGTCCCTTGGGCACGCTAGAAACCTATGATTGTGGGTTCGAATCCCGGTTCGCCCCGATTATGTTTCTAGGTTTGTCAGCACCATACCCGTGCTCGTGGGTTTCACCGGATTGGTAAACGTCTGAGACCTGTATCACTTCGGGCTTTCCTCCCACATTAAGCTGACACGCCGTGATGTAACTGGAATACTGTTAAAAGCGGCGTTAAATCCAACTCACTCACTCACCCTTTTCGGATTGGCAAAATCAAAACGCATGAAATTTGCCAGGATGTTGATCCGATATCGTTCAATAATTATTAAATAGCAGGTCCAATGATTTCCTCACCTGAACAAGTAAATTAAAGAGGCCAGTGAAACCACCTCATCTATCCAAAAAACTATTCATATAACTAATGCTAAAAAGTCTTTTGATCAGGGCTCTGGTGTTAACGTTTTACACATACATTATTCAAGGTCTCAGTAAAGTTTCCAAAACGTTTTATGGCAGGGATGTTGAGGACAGTTCAGGTTTGTTCAGGTGAACGTTTGTCTTGTCTTTGCATGTATTTGTGACGTGTGTCACCGGTGGGGCAGGATACGCTTACCTTCACGCGAACACCTATATAGTCGGAATCGTACAATGGACTCTGCTTTTAGCAGCGGTTTCGTATGATTATGGCTTTTAATTATACTGACAGAACGTGAGCACGTGTTCATTTATTTATTTGAATACAAATTATTGTGCATCAGATGAAAATATAAAGATATTCTGTGTTGTAATACGGTGATGTCACAATATTTTTATGATTAATTATATGATATTCTTTCCATAATTTATTTTTACTTCTGATTATCACATCCAGACTGGTTAATAAAACACAAGTGTTATTTTTTTTATCGTAAAAGAGCATCAAATGTCTTGTCCATTGGTTACTTGAGTGTATTAAGAACAATGCAATTATTTCTATATCAGTGACTGTCCATAGTGTTTTAATTTCTTTTGAACATGACTCCTCAGATAAAATGATAAAGATATTCGGGCCAAAGATAATACATACATCGCACAAATATAATCTTTGATTATTGCATTTATGTGAAACTATTTACTTTTATTTCTATACTGAGACATGTTCATCACCACGATTAAAATTGTGTCCTAACATATATTCCAGATATAACAATTTGCAACCAAGCAACACCCCGGCTTAATGACTCTTGGGATTCATATAAACACACTTTTGGTCAAATATTCACGAGGTATATACATGTCTAAATGGCGTTATTGTCAATGGTACAGTCTGGTCATAGCAGAATCAAAGCACGATTAATGCCATATAACTTGTAGATCTGCGTCAACTGTATGCCAGAGGACGCCGCATTGTTCTCGCAGTTTCATAATCAGCATCTGTGGGCTAGTTCTTCGTTGACACAATGTCCAACCGCTGCACAATTGGCTTTAAATCACAGTCATTATCCCCCAGAACACCATGGTAATAACCAGCGATCAATAACATGAAATAGCCCCAGCTTTCTCTGCAGCATATATGTATATGGCAAATTATACAGCGTTGATTGTAATCCATTCATATTTTTACGAATCCTGCAAAATCGCATCTTTTGTGTATGTATATTAAACATGCTTATCGACATGCTGTTATTGGTTTTAATTATAAATAATTGTAATTATATAAGAAATTGTACCATATATAAAGTCAAAGGGGCATTTGGTTTGATTGGAGTCGAGTTTCCTTTTGTAACATCATACAAGGATGTGTGGCTGTATTGTTGTGTGATGTCTGTTGCGTGGGAACATGTGGATGCTGTGTGCAGGTGACCGCACAGATAATGTACACCAGGGTTCTATAGCTAAGAATGAACATAGCCGATAATCATAATAAGTCATCTACTTTAATCGAAATAATACATCCGTGTTCTTTGGCCCTGGTAACTTATAATAGTTGCGTGGACACACAGATACACACTTGCCAAGTGAGCTCACACGATGCATGAAAAAACGACTTCTTAATATTCCTTTGTTGCTTATCGAGCTTTTCAAGCCATGTGAGTGTATGTAGTCAATCTTTGTACGACTCCCTCATCTGTCAGTCAATAGGATGTTCTCTCACTGCTAAATGGATTGAACACAAATGCAGAAACAAAACAATACAAATACAATACAATACAATACAAAATGATTGCTTCGTGATCTTTCTGAAGGAAATAATACAAATAAAGTGATAATGGTGGAAAACATTTAATTCTGCTAGATATTTCAGCAGTAACAGATACTTTCTGTCAGAATGGAGAAAAACAATTAATCCAGGAAGTTCTGTAGTAAAAGATTCAGCCATAATTTTCTGGAGAAATGCATTTTTAAGGCCAATTTAGGCAAATGGTCATGAATACATATTGGGACATAAACCAGATCAATGCATCTCATCCATACCTTTCCAATGTATTCTTGTTGCTCGATCTCTTCCGTATATGCATATGTTCATTGTATTTAACTGTACCGTCATTTAACATGGAAACAAATTTAGGTTATTCAGGATTATAACGGTTGCAGTAGAAGAACAGGTCATCTAAAGTTTATTTAGCTTTACATATTGTTCATCCTGAATCCAAATTGGTTTATTCAATTCGAGTAATCAAACAAGAAGAATACCATAGAACATTTTAGCTCTGAAAATAAACAAAAGCTGAAAAGTGCCATGCCATGCCATGCCAACAATGAAAGGAACAATAAATCGAAACTATCTTCACAAACAAACGATACTAATGGCATCAAGCGTTCCTGTCGGTGGTGAGTCAGGTCAAGGGAACCTTTCAGGTAAATACTTTTGCACGAATGGCTCCCTGTGGTTAAAGGCAAAACAATAAATGGTATCCAGTAAAATGAAAATGACGACTCTTGGTAATGGGATTGGCAATTGCAAATATTATTCAGAAATACTCAGCCATAAACATTGTCTTTCATCATTGCTCTGCCCTATTCTCCATGCTGTCCACAGCCACATCATGGACAATTATCTGGAATAGAAGACCCTAAGTACTCCAGTGTTATTATTCAAACCAACTGGTTCCATCGTTTTTCATTAAATGTGCATGATTATGTTTCTATTGTGTGAGTCATTTAACCTTAAACCCGTCGGTAGTGGCACGACTATACGTACACAGTATAACTCAAGTCAATAATGTATTTAAGCAGCTAACACTCGTTCAATACAGGAATTAATCTCAATATTTAGTTTGCTTTCAGGAAATATATGTCATTGATAATGTACACAAAGGAGAGAACATTGCTCTTTCAAACACATATTTTTTATAAACAAATGTCAAAATAAAAGATATTGGAGACTGATTATTCTCTGGCGTTGATGTTGATCCCCTGATCATTAGTGTACCGTACACAGCGTCAGTATTATTTGATGATCAGTTGACGTTCAATTGTATTTTACTCGGTAACCTACACCAGCGTGTGTCAAGGGCAATGGCGATATCTTTCAAACCTTCATCTTATACACAGTAATATGATCAATAGTCAATAGTGATCAATCCGTGGCCCTGAACATTTAATTGATCGTGTTGTGTTGCTTCCAACTTTGTTTTGGGTCTGACAAAGCTTTCATACAAATGACGGCATTTGTGGACAAATTGCAATTGTGTCGTCTGCTACGCGTATCATAGGAGAGCAGACGACAATTGATGAGGATAGGTCACAACGAGGTCAAATCGTCGTAATATATATATATGCGTCGATACTTGATTTTCTCATACGACTCAAAATGGCACGTGATTGCCATGTTGATAGCATATAAGCTAGCATGTTAGTGGAACATTGTAAACCTCGGAAATAACTGCATGGACATGTGAATTTGATGTTTAATGAAATTGAATATAGTTGTAAAGGCAGTTGTAAAATATTTAGTGGTTGACACTACTACTGCTACTACTACTACTACTACTAATATTACTAATACTAATACTACTAATACTACTAATACTCCTACTACCCGCCGGGATGGTGGGGTAGCCTAGTGGTTAAAGCATTCACATGTCAAATTGCCTATAGGGTACAATGTGTGAAGCATTTGTGGTGTCTCTCCGCTGTGATATTGCTGGAATATTGTTAAAAACGGCGTAAAACCTCACTCACTCGCTGCTACCACCCCTGTGGCATCTGGGTAAAAATATAGGTTTCTAGTAAACTATGCCGGTCTAAGTAAACTAAGAGTCGACAACATACATTGGGTGGTCTGGCTAGGTGGCTTGGTTGACT